ACAAGATTCTTCACTATTCCATGTAAACTCTTTTAAGGACTTTGCAGTTTTATGGGTACTTTGTTTTTACAGTTTGCAATCTACATTAAGCACTTTTGTATATAGTGTACCAAATGAGGAAACCTATCTTCAGTTGGCAACAAGTATCTGACTGGTTGACTTTGTCTTTAGGTGACAGTGGCACAAACTCTTTTTGGGGTCATAAACAAAGACTATTCCTCTGAAAATTTTATTATAATTTGTTTTTTTTTTAATTTGATCTCTTGTACCCACCAAGTAATACGGGATTTGCATGATATGATAGTTCTAAGGAGATTTACTTTCTTATCTCAGGCTTCATTACTTTCACTTCTGCCAAAACACTTAATGAGGATAGCAGAACACATCTTGTCAATTGGGTATGTGCTATTTCCATTTGAAAATCTTGTTAATTTCACTTTCAGTTTGTTGATGTTATTCCTGTAGATTATTTTGACTCCTTATGGATGCTTATGTATATATGCAGTTCCTTGATAACTTCCATCTTAAAGGCCCAAGCAGTTCAGATTCAGATAGATCCTTTGAGTCTGCCCTTGCCCATGCACTTGAAACACATACATATTAAATTATTGAATTTTATAGTTTATCTACTTGGTTATTAATTCACTTAAAACATATGTAATTTGTGTAAACCCTCATCATCATTTCATTAGCATATAGCTAGATCATTCCCCATTAGAAATTATCATAAAAACCTACCCAGTAAGTTCTTTGCATCATGACATCTGTCATTATTTCCCATCCATCTTGAGCATAGGTCACTCATCTAGTCCTAATTCCTTTATTTACTAGTTTCAATTAGGATTTGGTTTTACCATTTTGTCGCTTGGTGTTTTATCATATCAGTGGTTTATCTGTTCTTTTCTTATGCTCCTTGAACCACCACTTAATCCACTGATAGCTTTAACACTTCCATGTTAGATTATCTCTGTGTACTATTCTGTATTTAGTTAATTTCAGCTCTGCATTAAAAATTTTGTTTGGAAACTCTGTTTGATTCAATATTGAGAAGCAACCATTAACATCATAGTCAAATTTGTCAAACTGCTACTTGGTCCCCTGTGGGCCATTTGATATAACAGTGGTTGAAGTGGCTGAACTGAGAAGCTTATTGCTGTCTTTTAGTAGTTGAAGCTGAAGTTGGGAGGTTTTTAATGGCTGAACTGAGAAGTCATTAACATCATAGTCATGGTGTTGGGAGGTTTTTAATGGCTGAAGCTATAGTTGGATAGGCTACTATACCCTTGAGTACTTTATTATTTAAATATTTTATCCACTAAAAATAAAGCAATGAATCATTCAGTTCAGCTAAATTAAGGAAGGTTGATCCCGCCAAATAACTGCTATTAGATGCACAACTAGATGGACACCATGGCTGGTAAGGAGCCAAAAACATAAACTACTTGACTTGTATTGTGGTCTTTATGTGGGGTATGAGAGTTAAATGAATTCAAACTGATAAACAATAGCAATTATATAACAGATGAAGATACATGCACCTAGTCATCATGGATAAACCTATCAGTCGATCAAGTAATTCACTCTTTAATTAATTAACTGCAGAAGTTGTGCTGCACCCTAGCTACCAGCAGCCATGATCAAAGTCTTGCTTGCAGATATTTACAAGCTAGATGATAGATACCATTGTAACTTATATACCTTGAAAACTGAAGAATGAGAACCCAATCCATGATCCTTTTCCCGCTAAGTAGAATGATATGGGTCGTTATGTATTGAATGGGGTTCTTTTCCTGTCATTCTTCTCATAATGAAGCCCAAATTGGATTCTTTTCCTTTATGTAGGTACCACTCCCATAACAATGATTACCTTGAGATCTGTCGTAGCTGCAAGGCAATCTATGAGATTCCATCTGTCAAAGAAGATCCGGCACAACGGATACCAGTAAGTACTGTTTTTGAATTCATGTCTTCCCTATTTACCTTGGCATTTCCTGACAATTATTCCCACTTGCAGGTCCTACGGGAAATTTGTTGGTATTTAGTGCTGTCTCCACATGATCCATTGCAGTCAAGCCTTCTTAACTCTACTTTGGAGGATAAGAATCTAGGTGAAATTCCAAAATTTAGGTATATATT